TCACCCATTTCTCTCCCTTGGGGCTTGCATACAAAACAAGAAATGGAGAGAGGATAAAGAAGAAAAGGATAGGAAGATTGGGTGTAAGGGAACATTAAGGGGGAGTGGGGGGGGGGGGCATAGATAATTGAAGGAAAAAGGGAGAAAATGGGAATGAGGGTAGAGAGCAGAATAAAGAATTGGGAAGAGGGGATGAAAGGAGAGAGCAGGAAGACGAGGGTTGCAGAGATCATAAACAAAGGATGCGTGTTCAAGGGACAGGCCTCCTGAGCGCTGCCTCTGTTGTCCTAATGGCCGCTGAAAGCCTGCTAGATGAGGCGTATTATGTGGCAAAGAATATGTTCAACAATGTTAGTTTAACAGACAACACATTTAACAAACATGGGGAGGAAAGAGATGCAATGAGGTTCAGATTCCCTTTGAAAAACAGTTTGAGGTCAGGAGTCGCATCGTATGGAAAGTTGTCGGCTGTTTGAGTGTATCTAAAGAAGATATCAATTCATCTATGTTTGTTCACGTAAACAGCAGGGACGTAAGACATAACATTTGTTGCGGTAATAGCTAACTAACCCTATATCTTGGCTCAGAGGAATGGATTTTTAGGGGTTTGCCACATCTTATGTTTGTCTAGGAAACTAATGTTAGGTGTCTTCTCTAACAGCAGTGATGTTATCCTCTGGTCCAGAAATCCAAAGGCAAAAGTTGCAAGCTGTAAAAGCTCAGTTAAAGCACAGTAACACGCAAAGCATTTCATCAAACTGTTACCACTGACTTGCTAGAATCAAGTTTCATACTTTGCAAATTAGGAGATTTAAACTGACAAATGCAACATCCATTAAAGCTCATCACATTGTGATCACACTTTCACAGTACAGAGTTTCAATAATGATTTGTCAAATTTCTGGTTCAGAAAAAGGCCTCCTGGAAAGCCTCGATGGTCTTTAACTTTGAAGTCATTTAATCACAGTTACAAACACTGCAACAAAGATGGGTCAAGTTACAAGTTAAATACCAATTAGAGGCTACAAAAGAGGTGTTAAAATCTGCACATCGACCATGACTTTCTCAGATCAAACACCAACAGGAGGACAAAACATTGTGTGTTTGAACAAGGGCAAAACAGGCACATTTGGGGGGGGGAAGAAACAGCAGTGTTAAATCCAACCAAGAAGGGTATAATTGCCGAGGACGAACAGTGTTGTTTTTTATATCTTTTTTAATTTGATCTAAGTTTAACTTGAATCATCTTAAAAACAGCCAAAACAGCTGCATAATCATGTCACAAGACCTAACAAGGAGCCGGCATGTACAGAGATAATAGGTAAAGAGGGAAAAACATCAAAACAGGACATAAAAATACACCTTTTACTGAACAAAAAAACCAAAAACAAGATACTGCTAGTTGCCATGCAACCTGATATGACCTGTTTTGTATCAGTAATGGTTGATTTTGTCCTATTTCATGTTTTCATCCCTGCCATGTGTAAACACATCCTTTGCCACATAACTTTTACTGATATGGGTCGTTTTGCACCTTTTTAAATGTGTACATTTCTGCATTACTGCTTTGGACACTGTAACTCAACTGTATTCACAGTTATGCATAGCAAATATTATTTAGCTAATATCATGCTGGCATTTCAAGTTTAAGGTTGAGCCAAAGTCCTCACTGCTATAAAAGTGCATGATCATTATTTAATCCGATTTTGAAGGTCTTAAAACTGTATTAATTCAATGTTCACTCTTCTAATGGCTGGCATGTTTCCTCGTGTTTCTGCTTTTGTAAATGCATTGGCTTCTTGGGGCCATTACTGATGAATTGCTTTGCTGTCAGACTCTTTTGTACCAGGAGCTGGATGTTTACCAAATCTTGTGCCTCTGAGAGTTGGAGCCTTTTGAAAAATTCAAATTGCATTTTAATTATAGTGCACCCAACAGGCAAAATATGAATGATTACTATAAGGACGTAATGTGATCTAAAGCTTAACACACAATTATCCTATTGTGCTGGAGGTTTTTTAAATCTCAATTTTGTGTTTTTACGCAAACATATGAATATGAATGTAAATAGCAGCATCTAAACAATGTTTTTTTTGTTTGTTATATAATGTATCAACTTTATACACATCGTTATGTATCATGCAGAGTGTTAACCACTGTTATAATCGCATTCTCCCTTTTACAATGATAGCGTTACACATATACACGGCATCAGTCGACCAAAGAGTCATTTTCTAAGAGGAAACTCACCAAAATAGTTCGCAACTTTTTACTGTGGAAATGGGAACTGACTAATGCTGCGTTCACACCGGACGCGATGCGATGTTTGGGGGCGGCGCGATTACATGTAAAGTCAATGCAGAGACGCGGACAGACGCGAATTCGCTCCGACGGCGCGCATGAAGCGGTGGACGCGGCGCGAATCACGCGATTGAGGCGATTGAACGGTGCCGCGTTAAACGCGAGAGTTCAATTTTTTCAACTCGAGCGTCAAATTCACGTGATGCGTTCTCGCGGAAGCCAATCAGCGGTGAGGATCTCAGCCGCCGTCACTGACGTTCAACCACACAACATCAGCCGTTAGCTGTTAGCAGTTAGCACACAGAGCTCACAGCTCCTCATATCCGTTCAGAAACTGGACAAAAGTTAAACGAGTACAAACCACAGACTGCCTGTGTCATGGCGAGTACAGTCGCTGGTTTATTTATGTCTGTAGGCCGTTGTTATGAGTGTGGAATGAGCATATACAACGTTAGCTTAGCCTGGTCGACCCGATCTTCATTCAGAAAACAAGCATTTTAAAAGGTGTTTTGCCTGCCGTCTTGTCTGCAGACTTGTCAAAGCATTAATTCATGGTTGTTACTAACCGGTATCAGTATGTTGTTACTTCGGCATCATTTAGAAACGTGTATTACAATTTAATCACGGTAAAATATGTTCATTTGTTGTAGTTGTAGCTCCCGAGCCAGCGCGTCTTGTTTGAATGATGCGAGTAAACACAGCTGGCAGCCGCGGTGAAACTCCAGCGTTTAGAGCGATGCGATAGGAGCGATTAGAGCGAAGCGAATATTCGCATCGCATCCGGTGTGAACGTAGCATAAAGACAGGGAAGGGAAAGAAGGTGTGTAGTAGTGTAGAGTTGATCTCTGGTGGTCTGGCTTCCTAATGTTATCTTTATTAACTCAGCTGCCATGACAATATGGTACAATTTGGCTCCTTTTCCAAAACCCTGTTGAGATGTAGCTCATTATCTGCAGCATTTGACTCACTGTTAGCCGTCCTTAGTGACAAAGGGAAGTCCTGTTGCTGTTTCTGACTTCATTCTTACAGTACGACAAACCTTTAGCTTTGGGTACTTCTTGTTGTGAAAGAAAGCAGAGGTGTTTCGGGATTTAGAAAATGCTGATGGTTATTCACTATAGTTTGATCTGAAGAAATAAGAGTTTGTGGATGAAAGTGAGTTCTGTTTTGATATTATTACTATCCTCTTATTAATATTTGTCGGCTGCGTTATTTGTCTCAGACTCAAAATAAGCATACAAACAAACAAAATGTCCACACATAACAAATATGATGAGAGCCAGAGCCAGCTATAGAGCTCTGATTAAACGTATTTCTTCCTCACTGCAGTCCACACCTCCAGATCTTTTTTCATTTTCAAACTTGTAGTTTTCAGCCTCAAAACGGACTCATCATACAACTTTTTCCCATGACCTGTGAACGGACTTTAAATGTAAAATGTAAGAGTTTAAGAGTTCCCCTTAAATAGAAAGAAAATAGAGAACGTAGATGTTTAGGAATTAATGATTCATTATTTATTTATTTTAAGCTGGGATAATCTCCTGCTGACATTACAGACATGAAAGAAGTATTGATCTTCTTGTCATATCGTTACATTGCTGAATAGAAATATTACAGACAGGGGTCCCTCACTAATCTGTCAGTGGCTTTTGTAGTCCTGTTGACACAAGTTGCGTCCTTTTATGTAAACGTAAAATAAAATAAATCCCTCTGGTCACAACAAAATAAATCATTTTTTCCCATTTTTATAGTCAGTCAGTGATTATCCAAACGGTACAGAAGCTGTAATCATAAATCTGCATTCATAACACGGTGTCCAGAAATCAGTCAACAAGCCAAGATACGGCCATGAAAGGTACCGTTGCAATCAACTGGTGAGCAAGCTCGCAAGATAACATGCAATTAGAGCATATTGACAGCCTGCTAGTCACTGTCAGTGTTTGTAGCACTGACAGACTACATCAGTTTGTTGTGATGCCAAACAAACGGCAGCCAGACGCACTTCAAGGAATTAAAGCAGAAGGCCATATTGCCCATGTGAAGTGAGAGGGAGGAGGTGTGGAAACAAGATATGGCAAAAAACCTATCTACCAAACACCTTTCCACCGGCTGATTGGCTGACTCGAGGCAGCGAACATGACTCAATCTTTATCTTGAATGCCAGCAGCTAAATTACTATACAGCTCAAAGAGGTGTGTGTGTGTGTGTGTGTGTGTGTGTGTGTGTGTGTGTGTGTGTGTGTGTGTGTGTGTGTGTGTGTGTGTGTGTGTGTGTGTGTGTGTGTGTGTGTGTGTGTGTGTGTGTGTGTGTGTGTGTGTGTGTGTGTGTGTGTGTGCGTGCGTGCGTGCGTGCGTGCGTGCGTGCGTGTGTGTGTGTGTGTGTGTGTGTGTGTGTGTGTGTGTGTGTGTGTGTGTGTGTGTGTGTTCCTGCGCAGTAAAGTGTACAGATGGATGACTCATCCACCAATCATGTGACTCATCAATCACTGCAGTTACCATTTTCCTCCTTCTGACTTACTTTTTCCATTTTCAGTTATTCCTCCCATTTCTCAATTCGATTCTTACTGTTTTTCTCATGTTTATTTCTGAGTACACCACTTTCCCTCTGAAGGTGTTTCTCTGTCGCTGCGCTTCAGCTAATTGTCTCTCGTGTGATCGGATGTGTTACTCAAGTATCAACATAGCACTCGCCAAAAAGCCATTAAAAAACTGAACTTTAATAAAATAATTGCTTTTATTTTTTATCATATAGCAAAACTAGTAATCATCATGCTGTTATTTACACATTGCACGGGCATATTTATTTCACACTGTACATCTTACAATGCTAAAGGTGACATCAACAACAACACTCTCCTTTTACAAGACAGATGGCTTCACTGCGGACACAGTGGCCCTCCTGCTTTTGAGATTAGTTTTTTTTTATGTTCACAGTTTATTCAGAGAAAACAGCCATTGTGAATTCCCTATACTGTTTTATTTTTTCTCTTTTTTTGTTTTTTTTTTGTTCATTTTTTAAGATGCAAGTAGAAAGACGTGCATTTAACGGTTTAAGCACAATCCCTGACTCCCCGGCCTGAAACCTTTCAATGAATTTCTTCTGAAAATGAACTAAATGTTTGTAGCCTCTTGGTGGAAATCTGTTTTAAAAGGCTGCAGAACAGATTCGTGTGATTTCAAGTATTTTTTTGTAAAGAAAGGTGAAAGTACAGATAATGGATGATGCAAGAAATATGGCCAAGAATGTGCTCAAAAAATGTGAAGGCCTCCTTCAATGTCAAGGAGTGGTGTGGTGGTTATGGTATTTCTGGTGGTACTGTTAACACAAGAACCTCTGGATCCCAAAATGATTGAAAACCCTTCGTCCACCAGGTTGGAAGTGTTTAGTGTTTAAGTTTGTGCTTTTGGAGTCCACAGGGTTTCTACATTGGGACCGGTTGAAATGATAATATTATGCAATATGATGTTTCCCTTAAAGAATCATGCTGCTTGTAAGGCAACAATCTAAAACCTTAACTCTGAGAAACTGAAATGTGTGTATTTTGCACCTTTGCAAATTGCAGCTCTTTAAAGGTGATCCAATCAGGAATAAGAAAGGCAACTACACACATCAAATACAACAAAATATACTGTCATTGAACATTTGACAATAGCAGTGTTCTGTTTTTTTTATATCCGTAGAAGTCATTGAACTACTTTAGTTTTGTAATATGACATACAGAATATAAAACAAAGGATACAAAGTGATGTTGTAAACATGGTTCTCTTGCAATTGGCACATCAGCTTCTGAGTGTGTCAACAATTGGATTACATGTAGAAGTGTTTGTTTGTGTGTGTGTGTGTGTGTGGCCGTGTGTCCTCTAGAAAACTCTGTATAATGCAAGAGCATCAGAGATTGACCTGAATGGAGGCAGACATACACCATGGTATGTTCTGTTTCAAAATGTAAACTGAGCAAGAGGCTGAACATGGTTACAGGGAGCTAAAACCGAGACCCCTTCATCGTCTCCCTGACCAAGAAAATCAACAAGAATTACAGTGATTAAAACAACAAAGAATCGTACTTTTTACTCCTTGATTCTCAAATTCTCATCAGGCCCAAAACACATATCTCATCTGAGTCATTTTTTTTCACCTCTCTTTTAGCCTTTCTCCAGCTACTGTAAATATATCCCATCTCTGTCAGTCGCTCTGATCTGACAACATGTCCAAAAAGTCTCTCAATACATTCTGCGTTTCATGTAGATCCTCTCAATAAAGTTCTCCAGTTCCTCCTCACTGTTCAGCTGAGGCACCAGTCCATCTTCCTCATAGTCATCTGCCGGTGTGACTTGTTGATAGACGAATGGGGGTCTCCTGCCTCTCCTGGGCGGGGTTATTGGTTTGGGTGGAGGTAGGGATTGGTAGGTCCGTGGGTGAGGAAGGATATAGTTAGAGATATAAGGGGTGAGAGGCAGGCGTGGCGCTGGCTGCTGCCTCCAACCATGACCACGGTTCTTACCCCCACCTCGGTGCCTGCGCCTTGGGGGCTGGAGGTCAAGTTCCTGGGGGCCGAACGGCTGGTCTCTGGATGGGGAGGGCTTGCCATAGTACTGTGCTTTGGGATATGGGAAATAAACAGGGTAGTATGCTCGATATGGCTTCTGGTAGTATGGATAAGAGGGGAAAGCTAGAAATTGTTTCTGGGGCTTATACCAGTAGTCAAGCTGCTTCTGAGGCTTATACCAATAGTCCTGCTTGTGTGACTTGACATTGTCCTTGTGCCATTTCTTGTTGGACTTGTTGTACCTATAAGGAGCTTTCTTGGGGTTTTTTGAGGCTGTGTAGTGGTAGATAGGAGGTGCAGCCAGAGGAGGAGGTACCAGAGGCCTAAAGCGCGGGGCTACGGGGTTGCTGTTGGTTGGCAGCATTTGCAACTCTTTCCTTTTCTTCTTCTTCTCTTCTACGTCACTAATAATCTCAATGACATCATCAGCCGGCAGATGCAGTTTGCTGCTGATCTCGATCAGCCTGTCGATCATTTGCTGGTCCAGGTCGTCTTCGTCGGGGAGGACCTCTTCGGAGCGCTTGTCCTCGGCGGTGTTGCTGGCGACTCCCATGCTGCTTTTCTGCCGGGGCTTCATATAGGACTGTTGCTTTCTCCCCATGTACTGCAGCAGCATGTCAGAGGCGATGTCTGCCAGCCTCTGCTCTTCCTCTCGGGCTCGCTCCGCCTCCTCCTGTTGCCGGAGCACCTCCTGCTTCTCTGCGCGAGCTCTGGCCTCCTCCTCCATGTGGGAGAGGCTCTCCTCCTCTTCTTCAACCTCCTCCTCCAGCTCCTCACCTTCATCCTCAAATTCGTCCATGAAGTTGCCCCCCGTGGAGGGTCGGTTGTTGGACTGGTTCTCCTCCCAGTGCTGCTTCTTCCCTGCTCGTGCTAGCTGCGTGTTGTATGCCTTATAGCCCTTCAGAGGAGGCAAGATCTCATTATCTTGGAGACCCAGGTCAATGTTTTGGAAGTAGCCTCTTATTTTGCGCTGCAGAGAGGACTCTTCTCCCTGTGAGGCCGAACCTGTTCTTGCCTTGTTTGATAAACGTTCTAAATAATGTCCCTCCTCCAGTCCCTCATCCTTTACTTTCCCTTCTTCCCCATTTACACCATCAGCTCCCACATCCTCCACGGACCACCTTTGATCTGACCTTGTGTTTTTATCATCCCTTTCCTTAAAGTCACCACCCTGAGCAGCTGTCAAATGGCCTACAATTAGCTGTTCAATAGCCTTATCAGCCCATCGGCCCTCCTCTTCCCCCTCCTCCTCCTCCACCCCCCTCTCACCCTCTGTCTCCCCTGTTCTGCTTATCTCACCACCCTCCAAGCCTTCAATGGAAGGCAGCTCCTGACTCTGATCCTCCTCCCAGTCTCTGTATGCGCCCCCCTGGATTTCACTCTCCCTCGGGTGGTCCAGGGCCTCCAGAAGAACAGCGAGTACCCGCGCAGGGTCAGTCAATTTATCTGATAGGTTATCTCGACCCGGACCCCAGCCCCGGTCTAGCGACGCGTTGTCAGGGCTGGAGATACTCTTGGGTGGGGGCGAGAGGAAGGGGGCGAGGTTGTCCTCTTTTAGGTCTGTCCGGGTGCGCCCTTCCACCCCTCCCTCCCTTCCCTCAACCCACGCAGGGGCGGTGCCAGCCAGCTGTGGAGTGACAATGAGCAGGACCAATAGGATGAGCTGGGCTGTGGAAGGGGCGTGATGACAGGTCATGACCATGCAGAACTGGCAGGAGGGAGGTTAAGCACCTGAAGAAGAAAAGAAGAAGGCAAAGGAGAGAGACAAAAGACACACAGAAATTATTCACTCTGTGAAAAATAAATAAATGCACATCTGAATCGTTGGAATAATTGGCTGTTTAGTGAAAAAGCCAGTCTTAAATGTAAAGAAGATGACAAAATACTTTACTGACGGAAGTAATAGAGCACAAATAGCCTGCCATTAATTTTAAATAGGAATTGATAACCAGTTTTTTATTTTATAACAGAACATGTTTCCACCATGGAGGAGCCACCATACAAAAGCAGTTAATACTGTGATTAGTTCTGAATTGAACACCCGTTTGAGAACAAAGCACGCAGCCAAACGCAGTCTATTGAGCTATGCCAAATCCAACAAAGAAAGTTACACGCTTGTCTCTCTCATGTCTGTTTTTTTATTCCGTGTGTTTTTGATGGAAAATCTATTTCTACTTTATAATATTTCTTATCAGGTGCTTTTTTTGCCAATCCAACCTCATGCATCTGAAAACACAGAGATAAAGGTCTGATATATAAATCCTTCGTGATTATTTCGATGTCTGACTGCCCAAGCCTTTGAGGAAGGTAACAATTTGCATATAGAAATTGCGCCTCGAACCTACATGAACCATTTATGTGTCTGTAGTCGTGCGTTAAACCAGTTATTATCTTTCCCCCGCCCGACCTAATTGATTCACGCTCTCATATTTTTGTATTCTCATGAGATTTAACCGCATAAACTGTTACAACATTAAATATATGCACGAATAGAATTTTTGGTCCGAATTTCTAGCAATTAAGAAATGTCTCACCTCTTCCTCCGAGCCAACTCAACCAGAACGCAAGCACTTGCCATTTTTGAGCGCAAAACGTCTATTTCAAAAGAAAAATGCAGAAAATACAAATTGGTCCGAGCTCTGTCTATGTATTGGCTGTGATTTTGGTATTCCACGAGTCAAAGCGATGTGACCAGGACACCGGGATAAAGACGGCACGCACGGGGATGTCATGCGTAAAGCTGCTGGCTACGGTTGAGTTATTTAACCCTGCGGTCCCTGAGTGGTCCATCCAAATTGTAAATGAGCTGGATATTAGATCTTAGATTGCAAAGCCATTTTTTGCACAATGAACGTGGGGAGCAGTAAGAAACGCGGCTTTGTCCTCGTGTGGTGTGGACATATTTCTCCTCAGTGGTGGAATGCAGTCGAGCACACATTTGGGCAGCACAGCACAGCGTGAAGCCCAAATTGTTAACTATTTCCATTTTTATAAACTGGATCAACAAGGTGGAAAACGAAACAAATCCACTCGAAAGGTAACTACTCCGACAAATACGTGATTTCGACTCTTGATTTAATTAAATTGGCTTTAACATTTCGCACGTTTTATTTTTTATTCACGATTGAAAAAAATTTGGGCCGAATTTGTACATTGCTCTTGAGCAAATGCACGTAGACATTTTTCTAAGACATTATTTTATGCGCATTGAAGTCACTTAATTCTTTAATTACGCCCACCCCACAAAATATATACAACACAACATATTCTATTGGGTTTTTTACGTTACAATTCCTAATTATCATGATAAATATCAATGCATTCATGTGCATTGATATATTACATGTGTTTGTTAATAAACGTTAAATTCTCAATTAAGTAAAACTAATAAATAAAGAGAAATGATAAAAGGAAACTAACTGTAAACATATTTTTCTATATCTCAAGTTACAAAATCTATTTGGTATAACTTTATTTTTTTTAAGATCATATCGGTCGCAGTATACACCTGCTTTACAATTACAAAGCCAATAGTCGCCAAGCTGCAAAAAACACATGAATTATTTTTGATAAAGTTGAGATCGAAAAAGAAATTCTTCCACACTCATCAAGCCTAAGCATAAATCACTCCTATATTTTTTAATACAAAACAAAATCAGAAAGTAATTACGATCAAATGAATAACAGTAAGAAAATGTCCTGACCTATCTGTCACGGATTGAGATGGAAACAAAATTAAATTTCGTTCCACTTACCTGGAGTCCCACAGGGGGGTGGGGAAGTGGTGAAACTCACAACGCGGGTAAAGCCAAAAATTATTTCATGAATGGTGGATCACCTGAGAGAATTTCAGTTTGTTCCCCCTCTCTCTTCAGGCTGTGACCAAAATCAGGAAAATAACAAACAGGCTGATCTTTATTTAGTTGTGCGGTGTGTTTGAATGGCAGCAGCGCTGGCGCTAATGTACAATTGAGTGAATGTTTTCAGCTCCACTGTCATCGCAACTTTATTGTATATACCCCTCACTGAACCATGTGACCACACCCCCACCCCCCAGCTGCAGCCTGTGCTGACGTCACTTCCATTGATAAGAATGTTGGTGTGGAGATGGTACTGTGAGTCTAGGCTGGCCCCAGCTGATGAATGAACGGAAATGGCATGAATGAAATAGTACTTTTCCTCAATGAAAGGAGAAAATTGTAGAGATAGAGCTGGTACGCAGCCATTTTCCTTCTCACATGTTAAAGAAGGTTAGTGTGTTCCTTCCTTCCTCTGCTCTGACATGTTTAAAATTCAGGGGTGGGGGGGTAGGGGGGGAGAGAAAAAAAAGTGACCTCGTTTACAGGCTTTCAATTAGGGTCATTTAGTGACGTGCTCCAAAGAATCAATGACTTGCATCTGCGGCTTCAGACAGAAAAGTGGTGTGCACTCCAGGGGCCGTTTTTCTTTCTCAGCCCTGGGTGTTGGGCTTTTGTCTGAGGTGGCCCTGATCCTCTGGCTACACGGCTCACAGGCCACGGGAGCAGCCGTGCTTTGCTGCTCAATTTCGGCTCAATTTCCAGGGATTGCACAATTTTCCACACGCTGTCTCACATGATTTCTGGCTGCTCTCCATCTGCCAGCAGCTCATTGTGCAGTTAAAATATCCCCATTCTTTTCACACCACAGAGACACAAGTGCGTAACCATTTGTGTCCAAATCTGTAACACTGTACAATACGGGGGCTAAACGCATGCTTAAGCAATGCACAATGATTTAGTAGATGATTGAATTCAGGGTGTTTCTCGCCTTTAAGAATAGAAGTCCCTATGTTTGATTGTGATCAAACATCAAAGCTTGAATTAGACAGAAATGGTTGAGCATACTTTAACATTGTACAATCTTACATATAAAGTTGTCCCTTCCTTCCTCTGCTCCAACAGCTTCATATTTCTATGGGAATTGGTCCTGGTGCATGATTTGATGCATAGTTCTGAAATGCCCTTTTTTATGTAGCTTAACCAGCTAATTTGGTGGTCACTGAACTGTGCGTAAACATTCATTTGTGGAGGAAAAATCACATAAACCCATAGTGACTCGATAATTCTTAAAAGTGACCAACAGTAGTTCATGATGCATTCATTTATGATTCATTAAATGATTATGACTCGCGTTAGCTGCGCATCACTTGAGAACCTTGTTACCCACAAATGAATGCTACATATTCAAATATACTACTCCCAAAAAAGCTTTTCTAAATGAAGACTTGTATGCCCTCTGACACTAATTCTGATCATTATCAAGCAGAAAGTCTCAGTAGCTTTGCTGAAAAGGTTCAGAATTGACTAAAGTCTGCCCAAAGGCTTTAAACCTCACTAGTCCTGCCTCAAACGGATAAGAATCAAAGGCTCACTGAAGTAAACAACTCTGGGTTGTAGAGGGCTGCTTTGATTACATGACCCACTCATGTGCATTCACCAATGTTCCTTTTTCGACTCTACTTTATTTTACTATAAAATAAAAACCACTTTCACTGTCAACCAGTCATTCCCAAGGTTTGCTGTAATGAATCATTTTGTACATTACGGTTCAAGGGCAAATAAGTACACATGTAGCTCTGTCTGATATCCAGCTTTCTTGTTGTGCTGAAGTCAAAGAAATACATTACCGGCATTCATGTGCTGGATCATGTAGAAACAAGTTGATTCACAATTTTAAAGCCAAGCTCATTTCCATACACTTCATTAGTTAGTGCCAAGCCTCCGCTGTGGCCTTGTGTGCCACTAAATCAGCTGCCAGTCCTCATACGGGCTTGTTTCTCTCTGCATCGAGGCTTTTAAGTCAAGGTGTGTGTGTGGTTGTGTTTTTTTTGTCTGTGTGTGCTGTGTTAATACTTGCACTGTACGTTCAGTTAACCAAAGGAATCCTGTATTATCAGCGCTGTTCTAAGGTTAATTGGATTTTAGCAGCTGACGTCAGTTGCATGAGGCCAACTTTATTAAGCCATTATGGAATGGCCTGATTCAAAATGTCACGCTCTACTGATGTGAATGTTCCATTTTTGATACTTCTTATCTGATCAGAGAAATATGATGTGCGGATGAACAGAAATATCACCTTTGATGTCTCATTCTGAAGGGTTTTAAGATGCTCAAAAATAAACATAAAAAGCTCCTAGTAGCGCTGCAGCTATGACACAGACCCGTGTTTGTGATGAGAGGCAAAGAAACATGCTCACTAAAATGGCGCTTTGTTTCTCTTATGAGGCTGGTTTCGACTTTTCTGTTTGTGCAAAGATTTGTGTTGTGGTAGCAGACGAATTATGCACACATCAAATGAAGTTGTAATTTGTTACGATGGCTTGAGGCGTCGCATAACCTCTGTTTGATTAGATTTTGTGCAAGGGACTGTTTGCTGCAGAATGCGGAGTGTTTGCAAGGCAGTAATTGTGTGTGCGTGTGTTTGTCTTTGTTGAAATGCTTGATGGCAGCAGCAGGCTCGCAGAGGTAAGCATGGAGCCGGAGGGCAGATGCTGATATAACGGTCTGGCATTATCAACTGCCACTCAGCATTAGTTGGCCCCTTACCCTCACTCCATGTCCGCACCCCCGCACTGACTCACACTCTGCCGCCTGCTTGGCCACTCACATAGATTAACACTGGTACACCGTGCTTGCATTTAATGGAATACACACCCTGGAGGACACACACACACACACACCTCACAGTAATAGTTCAATTTCTCCCCCTGTTATGCACTCTGTCTCTCTTTCTCTCTCACACACATGCCCAGAGACAAACACACTCTTACTGTAATGTACATTAAGGACAAATGAACCTCTGGAGGAGTTGCGCTGTCACTGATGGTTCCCCGTACAAACTGCCAAGACAAGAGGTGTTGACTGCATGTGGATGGCCTTTTCTTTCACTAAATTAACTTCCTCTTTTTTTCTGTTGGTATTGGACTGAGAAGGGCTGCAAGGCCATAAGGCGGAGCTTAGAAATGGACATTTTTTTCGAAACAAGGGGGAGATAGAGAATGAGAAATTCTCAGTTTTTTTTTGCTGACATTTTGGCCACAATTATGGTAATGTCGACTGGGCATCTTTCGGCAAGTGTGCTAATGCAGCTCCCTCGCACAGCACAGGGTTCCTACCTGGAAGTGATAAAATAGAGCTCATGATTAACAGAAGCTTTTCCGCCCACGCTACTTTGCCAGTAATTGCACCATAAGGTTCCTACAACACAATGCATAGCTGGGACTGATGATGTGTGCAGGGCCCGGCGCCCACACTGTTTCATCTAGGGCTTTTTTTTCATACATGCTTTTAAAAAATGTGAATTTACTGGAAGCTAGGTTCATAACATACATTTTTTATATACTTTTTGTGTGTCTTCCTAAGAGGAGACAGAAATATATTATATTATTCTCATTAGTTAATATTGCAACCTGAGTGAATTTGCGGGAAAGACGTTCGGTAACTCTGCGTCTGTGTGATTTCGTTATTGACATATTGCAGATGTTTTTCAAAAACCTTGATATTGAAATGTTTGTCTTAATATTTAAATGAATCTAGGTGGCATTACAAATATGCATAAATATTCAAATGGGAAAACAGAATATGTGATACGTAATTTGAAAACCAACCATTTGTCAGGGCCTCAATTTTGTATGTTTTGACTATTCAATATTTTACTTTTTTGATCTCCTTGTACAGTGTTGCCTGTAAAGAACTGATGTGTTGATACAGTTTGACAGTTAAAGCTTGAACAAAAGCTACATTTAGAAAGCTAAATATGTTTAAGGAGGTTGCATATACTGTACACCTTATCCTGTGATATAAAAATATACCTGAAATCAAACAGAAAACTGTATAAAAGCGACACTATTCAAAGATGGTTGTGGCTTTCAGGAAAAGGAGAAGTCTTGAGAGACTCAAATGTTCCCAATTTATTTGTGCTGCCTCCATCCTTTCAGCTCCCTTAAATCCTTAACCAGTGCTGCAAAGAAAAATGTCTCTCTGTTCACCACGGTGCTGAGAATGAACACCATCCCTTTAAGAGTAATGGCTTTAACACTTCCACTGATGAATATGGTCTTAAAAGTAATATTTGAATCTATGAGCCAATATAGATGATGCGAGAGACTAAGCTCGGAACTGCCGCTGAATGCCAAACGTCTGTCGCATAAATTAGGCCTACGAGAAGAATTATGAAAGTCGATGGACCCCTGGGGAAGTGTACTCTGCGTGAATGATGTCTGCGCATACTGTATTGGTGATTGTTGTCCTACTCTCTCATTGTCTGCTACTCAGAAATTATTTACCCCCTTGAATATTAGCTGTAAAATGTGCAATGCAACCTTTGAGAAAGTGGTGGCGCCGGTGACGGATGGTGTTGGAGGCCAGAAACAGGCAATGAATTCGAGGTTGATGAGGCGACTCATATCAGAGCGTGCGACATCAGTGCTCACCATCAATCTCTTCTCCTCTCCCCTGTAGACATCTGGCACATGCATCAGCAAACACACTATTGGAAGTGAATTGAACCCAACCCTGACAAAAACACACACACACACACGGTTTCAGAGGCAGTGCCGCACATTCAAGGCCTCAAGACAAGACGCTGGGCCTGCAGCCAGCTGCCTTTAATGTACTACAGTAGAAACTAGACTTTATTAGGATAATAGCTCGCATTCACGTCATTTGCAATCACAGCACCAGAGAGCACAGATGGCAAAGTCACGGGCTGAAGATGTAATTGCAGGGAAATAAAGCTTTTATAGACCTTCACTATAACATGAGCCAAATTTCAAAACCCATGCATCCCTCCGATTGATGTGAAGTGTGCCATGTTCATTACCTCACGGTAAACAACGTTTGATTGTACTAGCATGCTGTGGTTGCAACAGCAGATGTTATTTTGGGCGTTATAGCCGCAATGTGAGTTCTCATTTTAGGCATGCATGTCAATTCTAGG